TATAGACGTTAGTGTTTCTGTTCTGTGTTACTTTTCTTTGCTTTAATAATTCAAAACAATACCGAATACCCCTCATATCCTCTTTTTGTCGACTAATCTTTTTCCGGTTTGGCTTTATTATCTAACCATGAAAATGTTATAAAAACTCTATTGGTGTGATTGGTTTAACCGAGTAGTTTGATGCTCTTTTGTTTAACCGAAATCAGAGATAAGTATGCCCATATGGTTGTGGGATTTGCTGTGGGCGTGAAAGCAATTCACTGCTTCATAATTAGAAAGGACATAAGTATGCCCATAATATGTTTCTTTCTATTCATATAATTAATAGGTTTTTATCATCATGATGCATAATTAGTTAACTTTATAGCACATGAAACCAAAGTCTTATTTTCATATAAAGTAATTCTTTAGCCTTTTGCAATTTTTTCATAAGAAATTAACAATGTTTTTTGTACATCCAATTTTCAATTATTTGTTGAAAACCTTATGAACAAATAGAGCCGTAATTTCAATATTTAAATATATGATTACTGGTAAAATATAGCCTTACTTTTGTAAAATGAGGTATCTTTTTAAAAAGAATCCAATGGAGACAAAGGAAGAAATTAGTTAAAATAATTAAAATTTACCAGAGAATTCAACAAAAGAAAAGCTACCATTTTTGTTATAATTTTATGAACAAAAATAGCCATTCTTATTAATTAGATTTTAGAGGAAAATGATGTAATTACTAATCAAATTAAGAAAATCAATACCAATGAATAGAAAGATGATCAAATTAGTAAAAGTAGAAAAATTCCACCACATATTTCCCTGGCATAATTCACAAGAAAAGCTTGGGTCATAAGTTGGATTCAAGAGTAAATGGGATAAGCTACAAAGTGAATACAAAAGAATAGCTACCATTTTTGTCATAATTATATGAACAAAATAGCCATTCTTATTAATTACAGTTTAGGGAAAAATGCTGTAAATACCAATCAAAATAAGAAAATCAATACCAATGGATAGAAAAGATGATCAAAATAATAAAAATACAAAAAATTCCACCACATATTTCACAAGAAAAGCTTGGATCATAAGTTGGATTCAAGAGTAGTATAAATAAGCTACAAAGTGAATACAGTAGATTCATTCTTTGTGTCCAAAATCCCAGTGATCTTAGCCGTCCATTTCAAATCTCAAGAAGATCAACCTCTAGAAATCGTAGTGTAGGCTAGATCATAACACAGAGGATTATTTAACCCCTTGAAAGAAAGTAAATATTTGAAAAGGACTCATAACGAAACCAAAAACAGTGACTTGTGAAACAACCGCTGGTTTTTTCCAGTAAAGGCCACAACAAATTTCAATTTTATTATTAATTTTACTTTTTCGCTTTGCTTTTTTTTTTTTCCCTCATTTACGTTTGTCTCTTTCCCCGCTCTCTCGCTCTCGCCGCCGTCTGCGTAACGGTCTCCGGCCACATTACGCCGATCAATCTGTCCCTCCGCCGTCGTTTCAAAATCGTTTCTCTCCAAGTCTATTTTGAAGTATTCCGATTCGATTGCATTCTCATCACTTTCCGAAAGCTTCTTCTACTCAGAAAGGTATTGTTCATTTCGTTAAAGTAGTCTAGAAATCGATTCCACAGTTTCGTCTTCAATAGCGATTGATATGAGCTCTGTATCAATCTCACTTGTTTGAATTTCTATATCAAATGCACTATTGTGAGTTCTAGTTTTTTCGTCGGTTGTTGTATAATCCGATTTCAAATTTGTGTATCGTCTCTAGATTCGTTAACTTCGATTTCAAATTCGAATTCGAAGGTCGAGGACTCTGAGATTATTCATATGAATCGAAGCCAAATTATGTTCACTTGAATCCTTTGTTATTGTTACCACATTTGAATTTGCTCTAGTCATCTTCTCGTCGCCGACACTAATCTCATTTTACCAGTAGAAGCAAGGATAAGTAGATTTCTTCAGTAGTATGTTTAAGTTGGTTGAGAGCATTAGATGATCCAGCTATATGAGCATTAAGTGGAGAAACTACTTAGTAGGGTTTCGTTCATTGATTGATTCTGCTTATTGTTTCTTGTTAGTTGAAATTGTTTACTCGCATCTTTGTTGTTCTCTTCTTCACATTTATTTGAGGGATTTAACACATTCTTGTTGTTGCTCTTTATCAGGTGTACAAAATGATTGGATCGTTTCTAACAAGAGGACTTGTGTATGGCTCTGATCTCTTCATTTTGAGGTTCTAAAGTATTACTTGATCAAAGAATTTTACTAATTTGTTTTTGACTTATCATTTGTTGGCAGAATGGTATTTGGATATGCGTATCCTGCTTATGAATGCTACAAAGCTGTTGAAAAGAATAAGCCTGAGATGCAACAGCTTCGATTCTGGTGCCAATACTGGTTTGTGATGTTTGGCTTTCTCATCTATTTCTTATCTTGAAACTTCTGCGTTGAGTTTTCTTTTGTAAAGTTTAGCTTCCTCTTTGAAACTTGTTGCAGGATTTTGGTGGCTGCTTTGACGATTTTCGAAAGAGTTGGCGATGCTTTTGCTTCATGGTTGGTGTTATTGATATAGGAATATACTTTCAAATGAATTGAGATATATGTAGACTTACTTTGTTTCTGTCCTGTTTTCATGAAGGGTTCCACTATACTGTGAGGCAAAACTGGCATTTTTCATATATCTTTGGTTCCCCAAGACCAGAGTAAGTAAACTCTAGTGGTAGCTAAAAGAGAGTTAGTTAGTATCTGTATATGTGATCCAATGGAGTTCTATCTCACTACATTTTCCTTTCTTTCCACAGGGAACTACATATGTGTACGATTCTTTTTTTAGACCATATGTTGCAAAGCATGAAAATGAAATCGACCGCAACTTGATTGAGCTAAGGACCAAAGCTGGAGATATGGCAGTGGTATACTGCAGAAAAGCAGTGAGCTATGGACAAACAAGAATCGCAGAGATCCTGCATTTTGTAGCTCTCCAGTCAACACCAAAACCTCAGCCGAAGGTAATTTTATGCACCTAACAAATACCAACAACAGCTAATCATGGATCCTTTGCTTTTCAACTTCTTCCATGCTCGCTAGGGGATCATTTAACATGTTTCTCCTTGTATAATAGTGATAATATTGAAGGATTTTTCTTGCTTGTAATTTTCATTAGGTAAAGAAGCAGGCCGCACCAGAAGAGGAGGAACAGAAACAACCGGATCTTAAGGCGACGAGCCAAGCAGCTTCTTCTAATCCTCAAGCGCGTATGCAATCGAAGAAACCACAGCTTGTAACCAAAGAACCTATGTCACCAAAGCCTCTTTCATCCCCACGTAAGCAACAACAACTACAAACAGAGACAAAAGAAGCAAAAGCAAGCGTGTCACAAACCAGACTCACTACTCTATCTCCACCAGTACCACCACCACCACCATCACCCTCAACAGCCATGAAACCAAACGCTGATCCAGCACATCCATTACCAACAGAGGCAGAGCAAGCGTCACAGACTGTTGCAGCGTTACCACCAGCAGCGTCTGAGATTCAGCGAGCGACATCTTCGAAAGAGACTTTAATGGAGGAAACACTAAGGGTCACTCGTGGGAGTCTGAGAAAAGCTCGTTCTGCGGGAGCACCGCGCTGAGAGAATGATTAAGGGAAACACATAATTTCAGAACTCTACCCCTTTTTTATTGGTTTCTCTTTAAATCAGGAATAATCGATTTTATTAAACGGTGCTATTTGTTGTTTTTAGTCCGATGTAAATTCTTCAGACCTCAGGCTAATATTGGATCATGATCTGTCCTTAGCTGAGTAAACCACCAAAAAAAAAGATCTATACAAGGATCAAAACTCTGCCTTTCTCCTATGTTTTGCAATGTCAAACTTAGACAAACAATCGATTTTTGTCAGATGTAAAAAAAAAAAGTATTCCGCTGCCGGGGTTTGAACCCGGATTTCATTCTTTTTGAAATTAACCGGAGTGCTACAGCGGATTTGTTGATTTTATGTCCAATTAAGTGATATATAACTTTTGTTATGACGTTTGTTGGGCCAGTGCATACATTTGGGCTTATGCTCTTGGTTGTTCATTGCTAGCCCTTATAATAATAACCTCATCAACTCACAAACACGCCTAAAAAAGAATTATTATGAGGAATAAATTTTCAGTAATTAAGTTAACTACATAAAAAACTAAAATATTTATAAAATGTCAACATGACTAAAATTGTAAATAAGTGAATGATCAAATTTTACGTAATTGCGATGAAAATGCCTTTTAATCGACTTTTCTGAAATTAACACGCGTCCTTAATATTTGAAATTGAGGATTTTTAATCCATTTCAGTCATAATTTTAACAGAAAACTCTGTACATAAATTTACTATTTGTTATACATTAATATATCCCACTATTATTTAGTTTCAGCTATTCATATATTGACTTCAACTTGATGTTTCACAAATATCGTTGAAATTCGACATCCGTTTTGTCTATAGATATTTTGTCCAATCATGTTTGAATTTTGACCAAATTTTTGTTTATGATTTCGCCATTTTGATACTTATTTAATTATTATCTTTTTAAGAAATTAATGTCGGTATTTGACAAATTACTACATTTCTTTTTTCTTTTTAAGGGATAAAGAAAGAGTAGTAGCTGCTAATGACGTCAAAATGCATGCGTCATGCTGACGAGTGAAGGCCTCAATAATGGTGGTGTGAGTCAGTGAGTGGTATAGGTTTATTGTGTGGCGGCTGCATAATAAATAAATAATGTTGTTGCAAAAGATATCTTCATATAATCGTAGTGACTAGTAAGTAACACATGGCTTTTCTGATCATATCCACCGTTAGATCCCATCTCGACAATAAGATTATACCAAAACTTATTATAGTACCAATTATTGTATACTATAATAGTTTTTACATCTTTCATTGGTCGTTTACAATTTAGTAATTTACCCTGCCAATGCACAAAACTTATTACTTTATAATTAGAAAACTATTGAAAATGAGAGTGGATGTACAAAAAAGATTCCTTCTCGTGTCTCTCTCGAGATCGACTATAATTATCCCCTTTTAGTTTCTCCTTTTTTTGTATGAGCACTCTTCACTCTTAGCAACCACGAGCACAAGAAAACATGAGCGACCCTAGCGGCCAATCTTCAACAACGACTGTCGGTGGAAGCGGCGGCGGCAGCGGTAGTAACGGAGGAAGTGGTGGAAGTGGCGGTGGAAGCGGTGGCTCCTTTGGGAATCAGCCGAGGAGATCAAAGGTGAGGAAGCAAGTGTGGGCTGGAGTTCTCGGCATCTCCTCCGACTCCACCAACAATTAATAGTTTTTAATTCTTTCTTTCTCTTTTCACCTAAAAAATATGTTTAGTGAAAAATGGTGGTGGTAATTACTATGCTTGATCATCGTTCATGTTAACTGTGTCTAAATAAATAAACAAGCAAGATAACTAGACCATCATCATCATCGTCGTCATTGTTATGACATTTTGAAGTATATATATATTTTTCTTCAACTTCTGCAGTGGATTTCAAAGTGAATTTTGTTTTGTCTAGGAACAATTAGGGTTTCTCCTTGGATGTGTATATATATATATATATATATATATATATATATATATATATATATATCAATACCATAAGCAATATGAAGGTTAGTCAAGTAGGTGAGATCGCTTGCAAATAATGTTAAAAGTAAAATCTTATGACAAATTGACGCTAAAGTATAGTCTGAAAAACATGGCAAAAAAATTCAGATAAGAATGTGCAATAATTATATAAAATGACCAGCTTAAAATAATTCAAAGAAAATAAATATTCGATGGTGTGTGTTTGAATGGTAAACAATCCATAATAATTGTTCTTATCCATCCTCAACAAATAGTTAAATGTACCTCCCCAGCTATCTTTCTCACAGATTATATATATGAAAATGAACCATTTTGAAATCGTACAATATAATCGTTTCTCACGTAAAAAACAATGGGAACCAATATAAAAATTAATTACTGCAAAAATATTATCCAACAATCAATCAAGTCCAGTATTCAACTAAATAATTCCTGTTCCCTTAGGCCTCCCCTAGCTCATCCTTGATGAAATAAAATGATAGGATTTTCTTTCAAAATAAAAATAAAATGTAGTTTAGTGTCACCATCCGGACTTAATTAGACAGCAACCTCAAATTTGTTATAAATTTATAGACCATTAGATATATTTTGGGTTTCATTTATACTATATGAGGAGATCAACCGACTCAGAGGGTCTGTAAATCACAACCAGTTATTAATAGATGAATCATGAATGCACTTTTCTATACACTAAAAACATGAAACCAATTGAACCAGTCTTATTTAAATATTCGACATAATTAAACAGAATTAGTCTTAATAAACTGAGAGAAATGATGAGTACAGTAATTGAACTTAGTTATGATTATCAGGTGTTGTTTAATCTTAAAGTAGAAGACATAATCATAACTGTCTTAAGTTAATTGTACCAACAAGTATAAGTTATAGTAATTAATTAGAATCCCTCATCCTCTAATCATTTCACCAAAAGCTTCTCCTCTTCTTTTAAAAAAACATACTCAAATTTAAAATCAAACTCTTGTTTTGTTCTCTTGGCAATTATCAATTTTTTTTTAAGTTAAAGTTACGGAATGGTCCTAAATCTTCGCCACTAACTAACTAGCTAGGTCAAACCCAAGTATACAATGTATCTAGCAGGACCACAACTTACTTTCAACACCATGATTATTACTTACTAGTACTTCAGCTTTTAGTTTTGCCTTAATTACATATATAATCACCTAATGATTAACCGTTGATCAATTCTCGGCATCATGTTTCGTCACTGTCAACGAAAGATCGGTCTCTGGAAATTAAATTCAACATTATCCATGGGATAACATAAGCTACTTCTAATTTTTGTACAAATTAGTAAAAAGTGATTTAATGTTTAGTTTCTTAATAAAAAAAAAGATTAAATACTAGTCAAACTTGTTTTCCCTTCTCTTGGATCTTTACAAATTTACGACTTAACCATATAATATATTATTGTAATAATAATTAATATGAACAAAACGCAAATAGTTTAGCTGATTGAACTGAATCACTGGTGTTTCTTTGGAAGAAAGTATCCGCCTCAAGCTCAAACTACAGACTCGAGCGAAAACTACCATGAACATTTAACAATATTCATTTTGGTTTTCAGTGCAAAAAAAGAAAAAGAAAAAAACACACATACTGATATTACAAGACCTGAAATTTTAAATCACTGAATTTGGTTTTTAAAAAATAGTACTGTATATATATATTTCATGTATATATAGAGATCGAAAACCCTTAACTATACATTTGGAAACAATATTCAATTTGGTTTCAGCGGGAAAAAAAAAGCATATTACAAGACCTGAAAATTTTGAATTCACTGAATTTCTGGAAGTTAGTATATAGTATGTATTTTCTTAATACACTTCTGTCCAAGACTTTCTTGGTTGGTCTTCTAATCATAGTAAAATTGACTAATACATCCTGAAGATGTTAGCTGATTAATCCATACATATATATTTATCTATACCGATATTTAGTTTACACAAAGAGGTTCACTTTGCCGAAGACAAAGGAAGCCCATACAAATGATTTGTTCACATGCAACATCATATACACTTAATCTCTCAACTCACTTTTTCACTTAATCCTTCTAAGTTTTAATATTTTAATTTTTAAAACCCTTTATTCAAACAAAAAATCAATATTATATAAAGAAAATATAGATTATGAAATGCTCCTAACAACCCCTTACAATGTGTATAAAATAAGTCTATATAACAAAACACATGCAAGCCAGGCTATAAGAGACTTTATAATACACACCAAACTATGCAAAAACCATTTCAGAGAGCTCATCCTAACACACACTCCTTCACTATTCATATAAACGAACCATTAAATCATCATCGTTACTTGGACCATCATCATAATCACAATAACAAGACCTTCATAGGTTTATCTTCATCCATGAAGCTCTTCTCCAAATTCCGCAAGATTTTCATGAGGATCATCTTCACCTTTCCTTCCTCCTCCGCCACCGTGCGTCCTCACAAAACAGCTGACTCCGGCAATGGTTGTGAGAGGCTAGAGACGCCAAAGATATCGTGCAGTAATTCGTACTACTCCTCACACTCTCACTACAGTGAAGCTATCTCAGATTGTATAGACTTTTTCAATAAGTCTCAACAAGAAAGTGAAGACCGGATTGTTCATGATCATGACGGTTTTTACGTTTAGTCAAACTTCAAAAAAACAAAAAAATGATCATGTCTTTTTTTTTTTTTTTTTCTTCTTCTAAATAACTCAAATTTTCTTCTCTTAAGCTCAAACTCTTATCTATCCGTATTCACAGTCTCTGCATGTTTCCCTGAAAGTTAATTTCGAGTTCAATAACCCCAAAACGGACCTCACACTTCTTGTTGTCTTCCATGAATGTTAGAGAACATGGCGACCTGTTTTTGTGGATCCGTTTCCAACCAATTTCAAAGACAGCAGGTTGTATTTTGTTCTTTCCACTTTCATTCCAAGAGACCAAAAGTTGTATCCGTAAGCGTTGGGTATGAAATCATATGATCGTCGAGTCAAAACGTCATCACAACGAAATCCGATTGAACAATTATTTTGGAAAGCTAATTCTAAATAATGCTTCTTTGCTATCAAAAAATTATACGAGTATCTCAAAATCTCTAATCATTAAACCTCCACAAGCTCAAGCATTCCATTTTCACAAAGCTTCTTACACCACACCAGACGGGAGACGAAGAACGAGCTGTCCACCCATTAAACTGTTCCCAAAAACAGAACAATTTCTAAATCTTTAGGCATTCAAAACATTTCAACAATATCACGATTAGATAATGGGTGGACCAAATGTGTTTTTTTTTACCTCTGAACATAGTAATAGCAGAAATCTGCGAGGATGAAGGTTTGGACGATTTCAGAGATGAGGACCATCACAGGCCACAGTCCAGAACCTAATGCAGTCAGTAACCGCCCTCGCGTATCCAACACCTACACGCGTTTAAATCATTTTTAGAAACAGTACGATAAAGAGATAACAAGAGCTTATTATTTGTAGTCTAACAAGAATAAAAACTCGAGAACCTGAAGGATCCAGTGTGCACAACTCAAGAACCTAGCGATTCCCAAAGCAAATACGTAATGAGCTGTGAATGGTTCCACGATCTGAGAAAAATTACATAACATTCGAGAAAGATTCAGACTCAGCCCTGTGGTAGGAAAAAGTTCAAGGCTCAAAAGCGCAACAGAGTATCTAGTACCTTAGTGTTCTGCATGACTCTTAATTGAGGAAGAACTGAAACAGCTTCAAGATAAACACAGAATGCCCAAGAAATCCTGTTTATGATGTGGTGTCGTGTTGATGGATGAATGAAGAAAGACAGAACAGCACATGGGATTACCTGAAGCAAGTCAGAATAAAGCTCTCAACAACAATCAATATACAAGAGTTAAAAACACATTTAACATTGTCTATCAACAAAGAGTTTGGTAAACTTACGACGAAATAGATAGCAAAATTGTCTTTGTCTTCCATATAAGTGGGTCTAAGCTTGAAACGGATCATATAAATGACCCAAAGAGTGGTCACCAAAGTAGCTGAATCAAGTAATGTATGAAGATCAAACTCCATTACAAAGCTACAATACAATCTCACAGCCAGAAACAAAGCCGTTAGCTCCTGTGTCTTGAGAGATATCCCTGTAACAATCATCAAATTTCAATATGTCAAAATCAATGAAACAAATTCGATCATAACAAATTAGCCCAAATTCACACAATTTCAGAATCAAATCTAATGAAGCATTCCTAAAACCCGTTATACCAGCGCAAGTCTTCTCCTTTGTGAGCTTGTAGATAAGAACAGCGATACCAACGGCATGAACAGCCTCAGAAGCAATGAAAAGATTGTCGTGTTCATGAACAATCACCCTGAGGAAAACAAGCAAAGTCATTGCCGTTACCACACCAAGAAAAGCCTTTACCTTTGGCGGTTGCCGGCGAATCCACGCCATCACGGACTGAATCGGACTCTTCTCCGCCTTCATCGTTCGATTTCTCCTCCACAAATTCGCCAAATAATACAAGATCTCTCTTTCTCTCTGTCTCTCTCTCAGATCAATGTGTGATTAATGCATGATAATCACACAACGTCCTCTTCGTATTGAATCTGTAGAATTCTTAACGCAACCAAACAATGCCATTACTTTCGCGAGGAGGACACGTGGAAGCTGTTAGGTGAGAGACTGATAGTTTCTTGTTTTTGCAAAGGTCTTGACTTTGCGACGTCTCTTGTCTGATTCATCTATCTATCGTATTTATTACACTATACCGGTTTGGTTTTAAAGACGAATTCACAAATCCATGCTCCGGTTTAATCAATTGGTACGTGTGATCGATCGTGTGGAGAAGAACGAGCCCATTAACGGCCCAATGAAGAGCGCGTGTGGCTTTAAAACTTTAAATGCACCGAATTTCTTTTTTTTTTTCTTTGGTCTTGCAACTTCTAACGGTCTTATATCTCTCTAGAAAATCTCTCTCTCTCTCTCTCTCTCTCTCTCTCTCTCTACAATTTTTCTTACCAACATCTTCTGTGAAGTGTGCTTCTTCGATTGGTATTTCGAATTTGGGTTTTGCGAGATGGGTGTGAAATTGGTGTCTGGAGATTCTTCGGAACGAGAAAACTGGCAAACAATTTTCAAGAGTTTGGTCAAGATTCTACAGACGAAACAGGATCAGCTCGAGTCGCTTCTCAAAGACAGGAAGATTCTTGAAAGTGAGATCAAGACTAAGCACGAAAATTGGCTCTCTGATGTTCGAAATTACGAGGATCAACTCTCTCTGGTAAAAACCCCCTTTTTGATTCCTTGTTTCGGATAAAGTTAGGATTTTTAGGGTTTCGCTTTCTGCTCAACAATTTTGAAGTTTCAATGTCTTTAATTCCATGATTTTGTTTTTTTTGTTATTCAGATGATGAAAGAAATTGAAACGACTAAGATGATTCAGTTGCTTGAGACCTCCAAATGCAATCTCTTGTGTGGCTTAAAGGAGAAAGATCATTCTCTTTGCAATTTGAAATTAGGTGGGTGGCTTATTTGGTAAAGATTATAATAAAGTTTGCTCCTTTCGTTTTCTACGAGATATAAAGTTTCATTCTTTGTTTCATGAAACCAATTTTGAAATTGCAGAACATGCGGTGGACGAGTTAAGTGACTTCAAGGCTTGGTTTGATTTCCTCACTCTGAATACAAATGTAAGTGAAAGTTTAAATTTTGTAAGCTCTTGTTGGGTTTTGTTGGTTTTGTTTGTTTTAGGATCTCAGACAATGCTTGTTGTTTTTATATAAAATGTGCAGATGGAGAATGAAAGTGGCAACTCAGAAGCTTCGGCTATTAAGTCATTGGAAGCAAAAATCAGAAAACTGAAACTTGAGTATGAGAAGCTTGCTTCTGAAAAGAAATGTGAGGTATCTGATCTTTTACGAGAAAACGGGTTTGCGTGGAATCAGTTCAAATGTATCGAGAGTGGATTCACTGATACGTTAAAGAGGAAAGATGATGAGATCGCTCAAGCGAATACGAAAATTTCAAGTCTTATATCTTATCAAGAGCAGCTTCAGTCATCTAATCAAGAGAAGGATGAGACTATCTCAAGGTTAAAGGCTAAGATGGCTGAAATGGAGGTGAATTCTACTAAGAAAGATGAGGAAATCTCAAAACTCACACGGGATCTAGAGTCTGCAAAGAAGTCTCGTGGGCTTACACCGGTTTTAACTCGATGCACCAAACTTGAAACGCGTAGCAATGGAAATACGGTGGGATCTCATATATCTACTAAGAAAGAGAAGGTTGCTGCATCAACAACAAACGAAAAGGTAGTTATACTTTAAATTTGAATATGCTTGTGGTGTGTGTGTTCTTAAATTCTTAGGAGTAGATAGAACAGAAGGTATTCAATTAATTTCGATCATCTAACAGCAGAAACATCTTGATTGAGTTTTGAATCTTTTGATCAGGTAAGCAAAAGGTCAAAGAGGAAAAGAGTGAACATGACACCGGTCTCAGTTTCAGAAGTCCCAAAGCTGTTCACATCAACTTTTAGACTTCCCAAGTTGAAGTCTCCATCTTCTGGAGCCATATAGATTATATTTTAGTAGATAATTTAGGTTATTGAAATCTGCATGTAACCTATTTGTATTTAGGATCAATCGCCTGATGTATATTGACCACACCCATTAGCATCTAGTATAACTCTTTACATTAATTTAGTTAGGAAGCTCATATTGCATCTAGCAGCTTGTCTTTATTTCCTCTGTATTATTGTGTCTTGAAGCTTGACCAAAGAAGAAAGCAGCAATGGCGGAATATCTGGCAATTCAACAAAGATTTCAAGCGGCTTTGAAGAAGAGTTTTTTTTTTTTTGGTTTATTTTGTTTGTAACTGAGAATTTCCTTTTGTATGGCTTTGATATTTTGAATAAGATCATTTGCTTCTTCTTGTCCTTGGTATTGTTTGTAGAGTCACTGAGTGTGATAGTGAGCTTTCTCCTTCACAACAATTCAATTTGCACAAAAGTTTCTTATTAAACCGGTTTGTTCTTTAAACCACCAAATTTCGGTCCGGTTCAGTGAAATGATTTTGAATAAGATCATTTGCTTCTTCTTGTCCTTGGTATTGTTTGTAGAGTCACTGAGTGTGATAGTGAGCTTTCTCCTTCACAACAATTCAATTTGCACAAAAGTTTCTTATTAAACCGGTTTGTTCTTTAAACCACCAAATTTCGGTCCGGTTCAGTGAAATGATTTTGAATAAGATCATTTGCTTCTTCTTGTCCTTGGTATTGTTTGTAGAGTCACTGAGTGTGATAGTGAGCTTTCTCCTTCACAACAATTCAATTTGCACAAAAGTTTCTTATTAAACCGGTTTGTTCTTTAAACCACCAAATTTCGGTCCGGTTCAGTGAAATGATTTTGAATAAGATCATTTGCTTCTTCTTGTCCTTGGTATTGTTGTAGAGTCACTGAGTGTGATAGTGAGCTTTCTCCTTCACAACAATTCAATTTGCACAAAAGTTTCTTATTAAACCGGTTTGTTCTTTAAACCACCAAATTTCGGTCCGGTTCAGTGAAATGATTTTGCTTTTTGGTTTAGACAACGCCGTCTCAAGCCTCCTTTTATTTTTGGATTAGGGCACAATTGACGGAGGAACACAGCGGTTTCTCCTTCTCAAATCTCTCACAAAATTTCAGCGAAGGTTTCGACTTTTTTTTTTTTTAATTTGGTAGAAGAAGATGCCACCATCGGAGGATGCGAAGGCTATGAAGAAGAAAGAGGAGGCTGAGGAAGACAATAAGAGCTTGAGTTCCATTGTGAAGAAGAAGCCCACGAACGCCAACAATGCTGGTTCGAAGAAATTGAAGAAAGAAGAGAACGACGATGATGATGATGATGATGATAACAAACCCATCAAGTCATCTGTATCTGGGTCTCGAGCTAAGCCAGTGAAAAAGAAGGAAGAGATTGATAAAGACGATGAGAAGAAGCCTGTTTCTAAGAGGAATTCTTCTGTTGGAGCCTCAAAGGTTGGATTTTTATTTCTTTCTCTCTCTATTTGAGTATAAATATCGAGGATGGTGAGATATTTGATGAGGCATTGTGTTGATGAGTCTCTGTTTGGTTATAGGAGAAGAAGAAAACAGAGAAAGAAGAACAAGTAAAGAAAACGAGAGAAAGAAAAGTATATGATTTGCCTGGTCAGAAGAGAGACCAGCCTGAGGAGGTATCTTTTTGCTGCTCTGTTTCTCTGATTTTTAGATTTGTTGGTGAATTCGTTTGAAGAAATTCTCTTGGTTATTTTGCATTTCTGCAGAGAGATCCACTTAGGATTTTCTATGAGTCGCTGTACAAGCAAATTCCCACCAGCGACATGGCTCAGATTTGGTGAGCTCTTCTATTCCTTTCTCTGCCTTACATTGTTCTGCAACTTAGAAAACGCTTACACTTATGTATTCGTTTGGTATGTATCTGATAAAGTTGTGTTTGATTACTCAATGTGCAAACTGAGTCCTACACCTTGAAATATTCTTTTGAGACTTGATGCATACTTGTGTTTGATCTTCGATGGTCCCTTGTGTTTTGTGACATGGCACTAAGCTCACATGGATTTTGAACATCATAAAGAGACTCACATTGTTTGTAAGAAAAGAGTGTCCTTTCAAACCAATCACAAAACCTTATTATATCTGTGATGGTTATTGTGTGGGTTTGTTCATCGTTTGCTTTTAGATTGCTCTGTTTCTTTGTAACCCTTTTGTGTTTTTGATCACAGGTTGATGGAGTCTGGATTGCTTCCAGCTGAAAAAGCAAAGAAAGTTCTTGAGAAGAAACAGCAAAAGGGTGGAAAGTTCAGTTCTCCAGTAAAATCTGCAGCTTCTACTCCAAGAAGCAACACCAAATCAGTGACCGTGAAGAAGAAGGAAGCAAAAAAGTCACCATCTGAAGCTTTGTCAAACAAAAAGAAAGGAAATGATACGAAACCAACCACGAAGAAGCGGAAGAAGAACTCTGATGATGATGATGATGACTCAGATGATGATTTTTTGGCTAGCAGAGTCTCTAAAAAGGCTAGAGCCAAGTAGGTTGAATTAAAAGACTGAAATCTCATTGTGTGATTTTTAATCCTATTTTAATGAGTCAATTTGTAGAATCCTTAAAAGGTGAATTCTTTTAAGAGTAATGAGAGAGATGGCAAATTGTTTCTGATCTTATTGTGTGCACTTGTTCTCTAATTATTAAGCAAGCTAGAAAATAATACAAAGACTTGGTCACGTTTGGCTTAGAACATGATGGTTACTCTTTATCCAAGTCACTACTTTGTAACCTCGTCATTCTGACTAGCGGAAAAGCCGTTGAACTGATCTCTGAGGCACTTTTCCTTGGAGCTTTAGTCTTCGATAGGACTCTCTGATATGGCAAGGTCTAATAGGTCCTGATTCTTTCCTTTCCCTCATAACAACTCGAGCTGTTTCCACAAGGTCACCAACAAACATCTTTGTGATACCACGCACAACGATATTCATAGTGTCGTCGATCTTCGGACCCCCTGTGATTCTCTGTACTAACTTCTCCATGTCTGATTTTTTAAAAGCAGATCTCCTGAAAGATTCATATCTGCTCATTTGATCCTCTGTAAATTGTGATAAAATGGTCTGCATCTTGTTGGCCATCTTCACAGGATCAGCACCAGTTGTGTTTTTGGTGAGCTCAACCACGGACGTTTTACATCTCTTCACAGCTCTCTCATCTTCTTCAACAGGTGCTGCTTCAAACGGATCCTTGGAATGCTTCATTCCTGACAAAACCTATACGAAAATCACATATTTTTGGAATCTTAAACTCCAAAATTGATAGACGTTTATTGTGTTTGTCTAAAATTATCTAAAACGTACCCGCAATTAAAGGCCGTTTGTCGTCAAGCCCACTTTTTTGGCCCCAATTAGTTAGTCGGCTAGGGACGCAATATCTTCGTTTATATAAGGTAATTTTGAGCTTCTCTTTATTTTTACCGATGTGGGACTCATAAGAGAAGTAGGAAATTAACGCAGTAACTTGAGAAGCAAGGAAGTATTAACTAAAATGGCAAACATAGACACCCAAAAAAAATGGAAACTCAAACTCTCTTTTAACAATTACTCAAACAAGTAACAAACAAAAACACATTAAAACAAATTTCCCATTTTCTCAGAGTTTTAAATTTAATCAAATTTAAAAAGAGATATTATCAAGAGTCGTTTCATTCTCTCTTTTTTTTTTTTTGAAGTATATAATGTTTGATGTGATGGATCAAGTCTCGTAAGCTTCCTCCTCTTCTTCTTCATCTTCATACTCACCTTCCTCATCAGCAGTAGCATCTTGGTACTGTTGGTATTCAGCGACCAAATCATTCATATTGCTCTCAGCTTCCGTAAACTCCATTTCATCCATTCCTTCTCCTGTGTACCAATGCAGAAACGCTTTACGCCTAAACATAGCCGTGAATTGCTCACTCACTCTCCTAAACATTTCTTGGATCGACGTCGAGTTACCCACAAACGTCGCCGCCATTTTGAGTCCCTTTGGTGGGATATCACAAACGCTGGATTTCACGTTGTTTGGGATCCACTCAACGAAGTAGGAAGAGTTCTTGTTCTGTATGTTTAGGATTTGCTCATCGACTTCTTTTGTGCTCATCTGTCCTCTGAAAATAGCTGAGGCTGTGAGGTAACGTCCGTGACGTGGATCAGCTGCACACATCATGTTCTTGGAGTCCCACATTTGTTGAGTCAGCTCAGGGACTGTGAGTGAGATGTATTGTTGTGAGCCACGGGAAGTCAGCGGCGCGAAACCCACCATGAAGAAATGGAGACGAGGGAATGGGATTAGGTTCACCGCGAGTTTCCTCAGATCAGAGTTTAGCTGTCCCGGGAACCTTAAGGAGCAAGTCACACCACTCATTGTTGCGGAGATCAAATGGTTCAAGTCTCCAACTACATCATCATACAAATTATCAGGTTTAGTTTTAAACACATTTTGAGTTATTGGAGGATAAGGATTCAAAGTTAAGTACTTACAGCTAGGAGTGCTGAGTTTGAGGGTACGGAAGCAGATATCGTAGAGAGCTTCGTTGTCGAGGACCATGCATTCATCAGCGTTCTCTACAAGCTGGTGTACAGAGAGAGTTGCATTGTAAGGCTCAACGACAGTGTCAGAGACTTTAGGAGATGGGAAAACAGAGAAAGTGAGCATCATTCTGTCTGGATACTCCTCTCGGATCTTTGATATCAATAGAGTTCCCATTCCTGAACCTGTTCCTCCTCCCAAAGAGTGGCACACTTGAAACCCTGTAGATTATTGCAGCTCCATGATTCATAATGATAGGTAACAATGATTCCATCAAATGCAGAGACAAAAGAGTGTTCATAGTCAAGCAAAACAACAACCATCCACTAGAGAAAACATGAATATCATCATCACTATCTGCAAAACAATGTTTATTATTGTGAATCCACGATGCTTAAAATCAATAATCAATTGAAAAATACATATATTTCTCCCCAATAATATCACCGCACTAGTCATACTTTATATCTGAAGTTAAATAATCAAAGTATAAACGTATCACGTGAGACCTGACCACGAATCACGTGAGATTGTTGTTGGGGCTCTACAAGCATTATCTCTAAACTCTTAAGGCAAAAGAGATTTTACTAACTTTTTACTACAAAATTCCAAGAAATCTATATCTAGTAGGACCACTCAATCTTTTACCCGCAATCACGGTGACCTTGAAATGTTTTGATCACGACATCGCAATGATATAATACCTTATCTCTGCAGCTTTAATATGAAAAAAAACTTGATAAAAATATCTCAATACTATACAAAACAGCTTGACCCTACCAATAATAAGTGATAACATCCCACTTCACACAAAACAGAGCACTTGCATTTCAATTATTATTTTTGCTGTCTTGCAATTACATTAAATAAGACGATTTGATAGATCGTATAATTGAAGAAGAACCCACACACCAATAATAGATAAACAAGATCATCAAAGTAAAATACTAAATAACATTGAAGGATAATGAACTTAAGTAAGTGGTGTATGAAACTTATACTAAACCGTGATCTATTCATTGCGTGACTATTTCTACTAAGTCGATAGATAGCATCATAGCATACTATATAACAAGAAGAGATCTATGAATATAAACGATGATCCATATGGTGACGTTAAACAAAATTACGAATGAAATTAACATTCTAAATCCAATGATGCAGAAGTTTCAACATTATAGAAAATTTGTGTATAATGGAAATTTCAATACAAGATATATATAAATACCTTGAAGGCAATCGCAGTTCTCAGCTTCTTTGCGAACAACATCAAGAACAGCATCAATAAGTTCAGCTCCTTCAGTATAATGACCTTTAGCCCAATTATTACCAGCACCAGACTGACCAAAGACAAAGTTATCAGGACGGAAGATCTGACCAAACGGTCCGGATCTGATACTATCCATAGTACCAGGCTCAAGATCCATGAGAACAGCACGAGGAACGTATCTTCCACCAGAAGCCTCATTGTAATAGACATTGATACGTTCGAGCTGGAGATCTGCAGTGTCTCCGCTGTAACGTCCGGTGGAATCGATACCGTGCTCGTCACAGATGACTTCCCAGAACTTGGAACCAATCTGGTTTCCGCATTGACCACCTTGAATGTGAAGGATTTCTCTCATTGTGTGAGTGTGTGTGTGGTGGTTCACAAGATCGAGAGAGAGAGAGATGGTGAAGGAATATGAAAGATGGGGAGAGACAGCTAATATAACCAATTGTCTCTGTTATTCACTTCCCTCGCTTGAGGTTTTTATTGTCTGTTTTTTCACCCCACCTAACATTTTTTTTTATCTTAGTCATTTTCTTTACATGCTTTGTCTTCTTTATTCAAATTTACTGCCCAAAGTTTTTTTTTCTCTTGCCATTTATATCAATTTATGGCCGATCATAATCAAAATCTTTGTGAAAAAATTAGAACCATGGTCAATATAAGTCCTGTATTTTCATTTAAATCATTTATTTTCAGGAAAAAATGAAATATGATTCTTTTCTCTGATATATGTTTGCATTGCCAAAAAGAAAAGACAAAAAGAGTTGACATGATTTGAGATTTAGATCCAGTATTTCATTAGAAAGGATTGAGCAACTTGGAGCATGCATGTGCATATATTGCCAATATGTTGTATAAACATGAAGATGTCTATACAAAGACAAATTTTTGTCATATTTTTTTCCCCAGTTGTAGAGGGACATAAGAGGAATGGAAGCACGTTATGTAAAATTTTATTTATTGAAACCTATTGTATATTTTCATTAATATAGTTATTTTTCATATACATAAATCGTGTGTTAACAAAAAAAAGGCAGGGAAGAAGAAAAATTGCAATTTCAGAATTCGGCCAGAAAATTATAAATGGGCCAGAAAGGTAGATAAACTTACGAGCCCATTACTAAATAAAACGCCGACGTATTTGAAAAAAAAAACCCTAAACCCTAGACAATCGCCTCATCGTCCTTTAAAAGGCTATCTATAGTCTTCGTAAACATTATCGCCGGCTATCATCAACTTGTTCCTCTGTTTTTTTTTTTTTTTTTTGTCTCTTAAGAGCTTTAACCTTTGATCTTGTTTGTCTAATTTTGCAAAAGAAAACGATTTTTATGTGAAGAAGTTAAATTCAAGTGATGAGATTTGATCTAAAATTCTCACGACGGTCGTCTGAGGCCTTTTGTGGCCGATTGATGTACCGATCACTCCTCTCTGATGATAAACTTTCTTCTTTCTCAAATCAACCTTTGTTTTTGTTTTAAACCAATCTTTTGTTGATTTTATTATAATTAGTTTGTATTGATATTTTTGATATTAAAAAAAGAGATTTTATCGAATTGGTTTTGGTATTATCTTGAAGATGATCATGGTTTAATTCCCTTAAGGAGATGTCCGAAGCATTGAAGAACAACAAAGCATACATACCAACTGTGAAACTATTTTTCACAGAATTTACTATCTAAACCACAAGTTTCTCTTAATTAACATAAACAAGATTGTGAATTGACTGTTGTATTAATTCTCTGAATTAGAATTCGATTATGGCTCAAGATTTGCGGAGGAACAATCAAAATCTCATCGAAGTGTATATAGGCCCGTTGTTTCAGGATTTTGAAGTGAAAAATTGTAATTAGTAATTCATGTAAACTTCGAAGTTCGAACTCTGTTTTATTCGACACAATCAAAGCACACTCTAGCAATACAGTTTACGCTCTAGACACAATCATCTGCGTGACACTAGTGTTCTGCACTGGATGTGTCAACCCGGTTCGGTATTACATTTGATCCGATTAGTTAACCGGTAAGTAATTTTCGGTTTAAATAATTGGTACGATAGATATAACATGTTTTAGTTGGAAGTATTTTGGTTAGAAGTCATGATCCATATATGATTTGAAAAGAAAACAAATTTGATATGAAATCCATTAGTTAATAATCATATATAAAGACCATTAATAACCAAAGAGAAATGAAAAAAGTTGATTATCAGACGTTAACAGAGAGACACTGAACACAAGATTATACCACTCAAACTTACCCCAAATCTCTTCTCCTTGACGCCTTACTTGTCTATGACACACGCATGTTTCCAAGACTCTTACGTCCGTCTCCCATTTACCTTCTTTTGGCTCGTAAACGAAGCTATTCTTATCAGTTCGAATGTAAATCTTACTCGACATCGCCACACAGCAAAGACAATGTTTTCCCATGTCCGGCCTTGTCTCAGGCTCCTCCCACGTTTGCTTTTCCGTGTCAAACACCAAAACTCTCCCCTCTCCTTCGACTACGTATATCTTTCCGTCAAGGATGTCAGCCTTATGGGAAACCAGAGGTCTTGGCATGTGTTTTACTAGAGAGGCGCCACGTGTTAGATGGACAGTCGATGAGAAACACAGATTGGTCATAAGCACTAATGATTATTTGTTAACTATTGTCTGAGTAACAAATATTTTAATTTAGGAAATAAATCAACAAATTCATCTTGCAAAATACATAAAACCTTTGACTAATTTTTATTGTTTTTCTTATGTTTTTTTTTTGCTTAGTTTGCTTGGAATAATATCAAACAATCGAAATTAAGCAAAACTCCTTTTTTCCCCTTTCTTATTAAAATGTTAAAATAAAAATAATAATAAATTTGTGACAAACAAAAGAAGAGTGGAACTTTTGTTTATCTAGGATTTAAAATTCTAAGTTTTTATTTGACTTTTTCTCATGGAGTAATTCACGAAAACAAACAAAAGATAAATAAAAAACAGATCAAGGATTACCAAAAAAAAAAGATAAATAAAAACGATCGCAAAACTATGGGCCGGGATAACCAGCCTATTAATTCAAAGTGGGCTTAGCTTAAGACCCACGTTAAAAAATTTGGAAATTAGAAAAAAGTAAAGTTACGTTAACTAAAAAAAAGGAAATTAGACATTACAAAAAAAAGGAAATCAGCCACTGGCACCGCCGTAAGTAGTGTTTATAAAAAGGGGAAAGCTATCAGAGAGAGTTAGAATTGTGTTTTGCGTTCTTCTTTCTCTGTTTGTCATATTTCTCTCGATCGCTATAGCATCATGACGGAAGACCATTTCTAGCGATAATCACTGTAAGAATTCTTCCAATTCTCTTGATTTCTAGGGTTTTTTTTTTAAATTTAACTATTAATCAATCCTTTCTCTGTTTCGCATGTTTCTCTCGATCGAATCATTCATGACCGAAGAAATTTTGTAGCGATAATCACTGTAAGAATTCTTCTCTCTTGCTTTCTAGGGTTACTAAATTTCACTATTATTAGTTTTTTTTTTTTTTGTTTTGTTCTTTTGGTTTTCTTTTTGTTTTGAAGCGGCTTTGATAATTTGAAAACAAAACGAATCGCGACTCTGCGTTTCAAAGTTTTCTGAGAATTATTACAAGTTCGTTTTTCCTCTTTTTTGTGTTACTTGATTTTGTTTAAGAGGGTTTGGTTTACGTTTTTTTCTGTTGCTTTTGTAGCGCTTTCTATACTTTGATTAAGCGTGAAATTGTTGCGATCGGCTGTGGTTTGTTGCTCTGTGTTTTTTTGTTTTGTTTTTCTTAGATTTCTTCCTTTTTTTTTTGTTTTTTTTTTTCAAAACCCAAGAGAGATCATAGGCAGACACTCAACTATTAGTGTTCTGTCAGATTCTTTTTTGGGGACATTGTCCCGTCGAGTTTGGACCCATGGCTTATGAGGGATTTTTGACCTGAGACTGAAAACCGATCCATTACCCACGGCTTATTATTTTGACAAATATACTTGGGATTGGTTTCAGTTTAATGGGCAAAGATCCAGTTACCCACGGCTTAAAAAAGTCTTTAGACAGAGACTTGAGATTCGGAAAAACCAATCCTTTAGACAAAAGATTGGATTGGGTTATGTTTGGTGGAAGGAAAATGGTACCCACGGCTTCGAACTTTAGTCTTTAGACTGAGACTGATTCTGAACATTGATCCTTCTTGGTACCCACGACTTGAAAATCTCTAGACATATGGATCATGTTCGGTTTCTTGTTTCAGTCTTTAGACAAAGAAACAGTTACCCACGGCTTAAAAAGGTCTTTAGACAGAGACTTGAGGTTCTAAAACCAACCTTTAGACAAAAGATTGGATTGAGTTATGTTTGGTGGAATGAAAATGGTACCCACGGCTTCCAACATTAGTCTTTAGACTGAGACTGATTCTGAACATTGATCTTCTTGGTACCCACGGCTTTAAAATCTCTAGACATATGGATCATGTTCGGTTTCTTGTTTCAGTCTTTAGTCAAAGATCAAGTTACCCACGACTTAATAAAGTCTTTAGACTGAGACTTGAGGTTCGATAAAAACCAATCCTTTAGACAAAAGATTGGATTGGGTTATGTTTGGTGGAATGAAAATGGTACCCACGGCTTTAAACTTTGGTCTTTAGACTGAGACTAATTCTGAACATTGGTCCTTCTTGGTACCCACGGCTTGAAAATATGGATCATGTTCGGTTTCTTGTTTCAGTCTTTAGACAAAGAAACAGTTACCCACGGCTTAAAAAGGTCTTTAGACAGAGACTTGAGGTTCTAAAAACCAACCCTTTAGACAAAAGATTGGATTGGGTTATGTTTGGTGGAATGAAAATGGTACCCACGGCTTCCAACATTAGTCTTCAGACTGAGACTGATTCTGAACATTGATCTTCTTGGTACCCACGGCTTTAAAATCTCTAGACATATAGATCATGTTCGGTTTCTTGTTTCAGTCTTTAGTCAAAGATCAAGTTACCCGCGGCTTAATAAAGTCTTTAGACAGAGACTTGAGGTTCGATAAAAACCAATCCTTTAGACAAAAGATTGGATTGGGTTATGTTTGGTGGAATGAAAATGGTACCCACGGCTTTAAACTTTGGTCTTTAGACTGAGACTACTTCTGAACATTGGTCCTTCTTGGTAGCCACGGCTTGAAAATCTTTAGACATATGGATCATGTTCGGTTTTTTGTTTCAGTCTTTAGTCAAAGATCAAGTTACCCACAGCTTAAAAAAGTCTTTAGACATAGACTTGAGGTTCGAAAAAAACAATCCTTTAGACAAAAGATTGGATTGTATGCTTGGTGGAATGAAAATGGTACCCACGGCTTCAAACTTTAGTCTTTAGACTGAGACTAATTCTGAACATTGATCCTTCTTGGTACCCACGGCTTGAAAATCTCTAAACATATGGATTATGTTCGGTTTCTTTTTTCAGTCTTTAGACAAAGAAACAGTTACCCACGGCTTAAAAAGTCTTTAGACAGAGACGAGGTTCTAAAAACCAATCCTTTAGACTAAAGATTGGATTGGGTTATGTTTGGTTAAAGGGAATGGTACCCATGGCTTCAAACATTAGTCTTTAGACTGAGACTGATTCTGAACATTGTTCCTTCTTGGTACCCACAGCTTGATCTACAAGACGGTGTTAAACTAACCGGATTTTGGATCCTGTATTGATCGTTAGCGATTCCACAAATTCAACTTGTTTTCGCATCGTTATGTAGATTTAGCATACAAAAATCTGTTGAAAACAAAAAACATACAAGTTTTCTTATTAGCATGTTACGAAGCTTGTAAGAGGGTTCGTTGATGTGTGGATTTGTGTACAATTTGTATGAATAGACTTTAAAAAAATACATGGTTCAGTTTTTAAGATTAGAAAGATCAGTTAGGATCAAAGGGGATAATGGAAGATTCAAGATTGAAAGCAGAAAAGGAGAGGTCGATAAAAATAAAAGAATACATGTTGCTCTTTTTGTTTGTTATGGGATCAGCCAATCAATATTTCACCAACTTGCTAATATGTAAAAGACAGACAAAAAGAGTAACAGTGAAGATGATGGTTGTGATGTGATAAAATCTATGCCGTTAAGAAAAGTGAGTATCAATTAGCTGAGATTTGTAAACTAAGAATGAACAAGTTCCAAAATAATTAGATCCAAAAGATCTTCCCATGGTGCTTGGTTGTGAAAATGCTAACTGAGATTTCTCCAACATGCACCCATTGTTGCAAAAGCTTTCCCTGCGATTTTACACAAACAAACAACCAAAATGTCACCATAATGTATGAATGTTTGTTTACCATGACAATGGTTTTAGGTTCTTTACCTCGTGGTATCGAGTAACCATGTGGCTATGCCTTTTCTTCTGTTAGAAGGTGAGGCCCAAATCGCTCTAATCCCACAAACAGCCGGTTTAGCTTCTTCCTCACATACAATCGCTCCGTAATCTAATCTATCATTTGATGCTCGACAAGACATCCGGAGATCCTCTGAGTGGATATGAATAGATAAACCTATACATAACAAGGTAGTTTTTGAAACAACTGAGGAAAGTAATTAGAGGTTATATCATCTTTCTTGTGAATTTGTTGAATGATGCATCTAAAGAAATCAAAGAAACTCTTCTTTTCAGGCAATCAGCTTTCTTGTTTGATTTCAATGCTAATCATAGACATGGAAGGAATCAGACTAAGTCGTAGTTTTCATCTTTTAAAGTTGACCATAGTAGAGCAAGTATTCACCATGCTTCCCAACAAGTTGTATCAGATACCAATTGGCTCAACATAGTAGACATCAAAATACTAAAAAAACAATCATGAGCTATGGAATATATCCGCAAATGACTGTTAAGACGTGGAAACAGGCTCATACCTTACAATGTTGGTGAAGAATCCAATCCTCACCTAACTCAACCTCCATCATTTTCACAACCTATTGCACCTGCAATTACAAAAGATCCATCGTTTAGGTCCTCTAACGAAGAACCGGTACCATAAACAGGGCAAGTTAAATTGTGAAAAGAATGGACCTTGTTCCTGTGTGCAGGGGAATCATTTTCTGATACCATAATGATGCGGTTCTCGTTCTGCCAACCCTGAGACCAATTCAAAAAAACCAACAATCAATCTAATAACCTCTACAATAATCAGAGATTAAAATGGGATCCTAACCTTAAAAGGGATTCCATACATATAGTCCTTGTGAAAACTTTGATGGTTCTTCTCATCTAATTCATCTCCAGGAGCATACTTAGCTCCACATTGTGCGCAATGTCTGAGAAGAAAATCAGATTGGCCCAACTCTAAGTGGAATTGCGTATAATTGCGCTTCTTTTTGAGATTTTTAGGTACAGAAGAAGATCCTTTCTTCAGCGGCTTCCCGATGCATCCCTTAAGCACTTGACTTCTGAATACCCAAAGATAAGAGACACACAAACACAAACCCAATTACAAATGGCTGCAAGATGGAATCAAACCTCACCCAAAAAAACCTCAAAGGGATTTGCTTTAAGAAAACCCAGAAAATCAGGAGTTGCCTATCGCTTATTTTCGATTCTCTTACTCTGAAGAACACAAATAATGTAGAAAATTCGAAGAGAAGGAAAACCGCCAAAGATGATTGATTTACCTATCGGGTATCGCAGATCGACGCTCATAGGTGTTGACGATGGCGTTCCGATTGTTCTCCCAGACAGCTAAGCCATCTTCTGTGTCTGCTGATGTTACTGGGGAAGAGATAGAAGATGAAGAAAGAATTGATTTTGGCTTGCATCGTACAGAGAGAGCTCGAATCTTTCTTAGGTTTGTGTTTGTTTTCCCCTTTACTTCTCTGATTTTGGCGCTAATGGAATTTTTTTGTCAAATAAATTCAATTTTTATGCCGATTCCTACCTAAACTTATGTAAACCAAAGAAACTACAGATTCAAAGCATAAAAATTGGCCAACTGTGAAACTATTTTTCACAGAATTTACAATCTGCACCATAAGTTTCTCTTAATTAACGTAAACGAGATTGTGAACTGAATGTTGTGTTAATGACTTGATTCTCTTTGAATTAGAATTCGATTATGGCTCAAGAATTGCTGAACATGGCAGAATTTTTATAAAAATCAATTAAGCATATAAACTTATAACAATACTTAATTAAAAAAATTTGTCAACAATATTAAGCTAGATATTTAAAGTTTTACCAAGCATAATTATCATATAAAAATCTTATTTATTAAAATTAAGAATAAACTTATTGTTTTCTTCCTTAGTTCGCAGATTTATAATTTTGGTTAATTATTAATCTGTTCTGCTAACATTGTAAATAAATTTACACCAAACAAAATTTACTTGCTAATTTTTATTATGAACCTTACCAATTTCACCGATATTTATGCTTTTAATTTTTTAAGAAAAATTAACTATTTTTTTATATAATTATCAAGCAAACTTTATGAAAATTTTGATTTCTAATATTAAAGTATTCATATTTATTAAAAACATAATAAGAATAAAATCATTAAAAATTTTAAAATATTATGTAACCAATTGATGTGACCATGATTCCTCAAGTTTTTCTCAAGTTTATATTTGTATAAATGATGTAACAAAGAAAAATTCCACAACATTTCCTCAAGAATTCCTCAAACTTCATGTCACCATCTAGACCCATATATGATTTGAAAACAAAACAAATTTGAAATATGAAATCAAATTTAATATTAGTTTAGTAAAATGCTTCATTTCAATAAATGATACACGTAGTTCATATTTTTTATTTTACTTTCAGT